GCTGGTTAATAATCGATTCGAATCGCCATCGTTCACTAGATAGTGAACACTTGACTTGAGTTACTTTATCGTAGTAATTATTATGGAACAATGATGGTTATCTGGATGGTATGGGATATGCTAAATCTAAATTGGTAACTAGATCGTTATTGGTTAATCAAGTGATTGCTATAGTGCAGGTGCTTACCTAGATGGATATGTCATAATAAAGATGATGCAAAGTACTTAAAATGGTTTCTTCATGATAGCTTATGCTTTTCGCAAACAAGTCAGCTAGCCCATTAAAGAAAGCCATGCATAATCCTTGGTGTCGCTTTATTTTGGTTTAAGACGGGTAAGTCTGGCTGAGTACATTCGAGTACTCAGGGTTTATCCCACCTTGTTGCAGATGATGTTCTCGACCTGTTGATGATGGTGGCTAACCGCCGGTGGGCTCGGTGATTCTATATTTACTTCTCATCTATATGCTTTTATCAGACGATGTCACTTATGCTAGCAATGTATTTGGAACTTATATTAATGTAATCATTTGAAAGCTATGTTGTTTTCTCTAATCGGTTTTAAAACCCAAACTTGTACTATTATTTGTGAACCCAATTATAATATTATTTCTGCTGCAACTCTGCGTATGTGATGTGTATTTGTTTAATCACGCGATCTTGGTTGTGATGTTGATTTACCGAGGTATTTCGGGACACTCGGCGGACTACCGGGTTTATATAAGTGAAAGTAGGTGCGTGTCAACGTGTTAGCGGGGACAACCGTACTTGATCTTGTATAAATTGGGTGGTTCTGTCACACCAGCACTCGGTTAACCGAATTGATCTGAAATAACCGAACTATGTAAAGGCCCCTAGAATGCAACCGAATTGTTTTTACTGCAGGCTTGAATATTGCTCTATACTTGAATATTTGAGATAACAATAACATATATGTGTTGTACTGTTGTTTTATGCTGCATTGTTGTTTAAAATATCCCTTTTGACTACATGAAAATCAGGTAAAATGCTGTCGAAATTTGCAATTGAATAGGTTGTTTCTTGGTTTCTTAAAAATTCGGTTCCATTGATTAGAACCGAAACCGAATTGAATTACCCGAAACCGAAATTCCTCGGTTCCGTATTTTCAAAGTAACCGATCAATTCATTCTTCTCAGGTAACCGACAGCCTGTTCGGCTGGAGAGAAACGATCGTATACGATCGTAAATTTCCAGCCAAAATAATATTTTTCTCTCACACAAATTAACTAATAATACTTCTTTACGAACCAGCAACGATATGAATCAGCCAACCGAACATGCCGCGAATTAGCTGAAGAAACGACAACCAAATCGATCGGTTTCGGTTAACCCAACGCCCACCGACGGCTGCTGGCGCTGAGCGGAGCCGAGCTCGGTGGGTGTCCGGTTGCTTGCCCGCACCCGCGCACCCGCCCGCTTTGGTCTTGTTTTTTCCTGGACTTTTTACGGGGTTTTGGCCGCTTTTCCTCGGGCGCGGCCGTGCGGCAGCGGATGGATTCCGTCCCGGCTTCCGCGGTGTCAGCTAGCCAGCCAGCGCCTTGCTCCTCTGGGGGTCCGTGCAGACCGGGTGTACATTTATGTTGCCTTTCAGTTGTGTGTGGGTTTGAGTTTCTCAGTTCAGCGATCAGCGCTGTGGGTTTCTGCGTCTGGGTCTTTGTGGTATAGCGTGGTGTTGCTTTGGTTAGGGCTGTATCTTCTTTGTTATATATAAGGGAAATATTTACCCGTGCATTGTATCTGAAAAATCTTACTTATATCATACTAGTAAATATAATATATCTATAAAAACTATTTCAAATTCAATGAAAATATTTATTGAATTCTTGATATGTCAATTCATATATGTCATCAATAATTTCTTTAAATACAAAAATAGGGTAGTGAATTATTTATTGGATCTATAAAATGTTAAAGAAAATTTACAAGATTATATGAATGAGAGGCACCAGCCTATGGAAAAGAAACAAAATGAATTAGGGATTACGGACCAAGCGGTGCTCTACATGATGATTTCATATATATTTTTCCTAGCCTTAAAAGAATCCATGACCAGGCGATGTTGTAAACATTACGGAATATGACTTCAATGATATAAGATTATATACGTACAAGCAACATAATGGATTAGGACTTTAATAATGATGTATAAGATTGTAAGTAAATAGGCAGATGTAAAATAGCATGACTTAAACAATACAAAGGGGTAAACCGTAACTTTCTGAGTGTAAAAAATTACAAATCTTACATCCTTCAAGTGATGGAAGGCACAGATAAGACGATTTTTTAATCGAACGAGTATTATGTAGGGAGAGCCTTCTTAAAAATACTCACTCTTTTTAATAGTGTGATGATGATTATGAATCATACCAAGAGAGATAAATAAATAATTTCATGTATACAGCTAGAAACATGCCGGAAGAGATCTCTCTCGGAACCTGTAATACTTCCCAGACTATCTCTCAAGGGATGTATTTTCTAAATAAACACAAGATCTAGCTACATGCCACTCGAAAAACATTATATTTGTCGTGAGGACTAACTTCCCTCCATGCCCATCCCATAATAGGAGAATTCTCATAGAAGAATCGAGGATGGGGTCCCTATTATAATCTCTAACTGTGAGAGAGAAAGGCACATAGATGAAGTGCCGGTCTATTGCCCGCAATGGCCATGCGAAGCTTGACCCTTTTTTTCTCGTGTGGCGTGTTTAGCCGGGTGAATTATGTAACGCCTGTCTAGTTTTTCTCTTTTCTCCCTAGAGATAAAATTTTACAACATGAAAACCTTCGCAGTCTAAAAGCATGATTAATAACAGAATCTATTGATGGTTATATGCACATTTACAATTTATTTATCGGCCTACTTATGTAGTTGTTGACTACTAAGACATATTTCATCATTAATACATGATTCACTTTTTTTCTCTAACAAACTTTCTTGGAACACATGTATGAGTTGGTTGTTGTCTTACAACTAGGCAGCTATGTGACTTTAGCAGGAGGTGCAGACACATCCACGCGAAAAAAAAACAGTGATTATAATTAAAATTTTACCATATATACATTCCCAAGTCAAAAAATATACCCTTTAGTATACTTACTATAGTTGCTCTTATAATAAACTAGCAAATATGCACGTGCGACACGCACGTAGCTAACAACAACATTTGCATCAGATCACCACCAGCCTCCCCAAGTGTCCAGTAGATGCACGCGATGCTTATTCCCTTGCTCGATCCTCCTCCTCGTCGGCGCTGCCTCGACGACATTGGTGACGGAGCCGAGTGATGGCGAGGCGACGAGGGTTACCGGACCATTCTGCTACATCCGCAACTCCGCGTACGACTACTATAGCTTGACGCGGTCCAACAGCACGTTCCAGGCCAACCTCGTCATTATCTCCTGCGAACTTGCTGGGAACGCGAAGGCGTCGGGCTTCGCGTCGCGGGCGTTCGGAGACACCCCATACACGGTGTACGAGCTCCTGCACTGCCGCGGGGACTTCTTCAGTGACCAGTGCGTTCGTGCCTCGCGTTAGGGCTCAGCCTCGCCCTGTTCGCCATCTGTGCCAGATCCAGAGATGTGGCTGTATACTATGGCCAGTGCATGTTCCGGTTCTCCGACCGCGACTTCCTCTCTAGCTACGACAACTCCTCATACATGTGGTCGCATGGAACATGAACAGCGTGAGCGGCAGGAACGTCAACGCGTTCGTTAGCCTGCTCGGGGGCTCATAAACATGGTGGCCGTCGTGCCCAGCAACGCGACCAGCAGATACGGCACGACCATTGCCAGGTTCCCGCCGGAGGCGACCAACGTACTCGCGCTCAGGGGGTGCATGCAGGACCTGACGCCGGTGTAGTGTCCATGGTGCCTCACGGGCCTCATCCACCAGATGCCGACTTTGTTCGTGGACAAGGGGAAGGCGAGGGTGGGCGGAAGAATATTAGTGTTACACTGCAAAATCATGTACGAGAGTAATCAATTCTTCTTCCCGGTAACCGACGAAACGCCTCAGCTGGATACGAATTAGTCATCCACCACTGCAGGAGGAGGACACGACAAAGGTTAGTAGTGGTTGCTCTGTCCATGTTGGACACGTTAGGAGATTAAGGAAAGGATGATATATATATTGAAGCATGCCGATGGGATTTCATGCTTGCCTCGTACGTTGCGGCTAGCTATGTGCTAGAGTCTGAGCTTTGAAGGAAATAAAATTGATTGACTGTTGGTTGCCAACGTGCTAGAGTCCACGCAGAGGAAGCACCTGCATGCATACACGTTACTACCAGGTCTTGTAATAGGATTTGTAATGCAATGGCCGATACTTGTACGATTATTGATACGTGACCGAGAGGGAGTCGCTGTAAGATCTTGGATAATGGAAGGCTCATATGACACGGCGTATAGATCGAACGGTTATCAATGAGGAGAGGTAAGATCTCAGACGACATAAGGCTCATATGAAACGGTGTCAAAGATCAAACGGTTATGAAAGAGGGATAGCCCCACAAATTATAAGAGCAAAAATATGAATTTCCAACAACTTTGATCAGCTCTCTAACCCGTACTAGGCACTAATCAGTCCTTCAGTCCACCACCGTGGCACCGCCTCTAATTTTCAAATAAAGCAGGCTGACGTCGTCGGCCCAGCCCAAACCTAACTCGACCCAACCGCCACGGCAGTCCAAATTACACGCCTGGTCCCGCAGTCCGTGGAGGACTCGGCGCAACAATCTCATAAACCGCCGACTTCCAGTGACCTAGCAATCCCCTCATCCCCTCTTCGCTACACGCTCACACGCTCCCCCCTTCCCCGTGTCTCTCCCCGTCGATCGGCAAAGAGGCTTTAAGCGAGCCGCTACGGTTTAGCAGCTTCCACTCTTGAGCGAGGGTTTACCCGCGAGCGGCGGCGCGACGCGGCGGCAACTTGAGCTAGGGTTTCCCTCCGATCCCGTTCCCTTCCCTTCCCGGCGAGGCAATGGACGAGGCGGCGATCGACGACTTGATCCGGCGGCTCCTCGAGGCCCGCGGCGGGCGCACCCCGCGCAACGCGCAGGTGACCGACGCCGAGATCCGGCGCCTCTGCGCCGCTGCCAAGGATGTGTTCCTCCAACAACCCAACCTCCTGGAGCTCGAGGCCCCCATCAAGATATGCGGTAAGAGCGCCCTCCCCACAACCCTGATATGCGACTTGGCGTGCTAGCCTGTTAGGCCTTCGTCTGTTCCGCGCAAACTGTTTTGCCAGACGCAGCCGTTTCGGGTTGTGCTTCTCTTGTGGCTTTTATTATTGGGATGGCCTCGCCAAGATTAGTTGTTCTTGGAATCCCGTAGTCCTTTGACGTGTTCTGGTAGTAATAATTAAAGGTGGGGCGCGTGCTGTGCGAAGTTCAAATGACCTCAGATGTACGACTGCCTGGGCAACAGCGCGTTTGGATTTCTTTGTCATACCAAATGCTAGTTTAGGCGACTCTGTTGTTATTCCTTTTTTTTTGTAAGTTCCAGTAGGTCGTTTGCAATATAGGTCACATCTATTGTTTGCTGGGGTGAAAGATCAAACATGGATGAATATCGTGATCATGATGTCCTCTCAAACCTCCCTCGACCTAAAGATGCATATCAAGGCCATGACATTTCAAACCTTGACACCATAATGCCTGTATTTATGCATGTATATAAGCTCATCTTTTCCAGAAAGCTGCAAGACCCTTGATTATTCTTGATTTCAGTGTCAAACAAATTCACCACCTTTTCTTACTGTATACTTGTATCATGATTTTGTCAGGGTCGTACAGATTTGCTGTCTGTGTCGTTAGATCAGATTGCCAATATGATCGGTTTTCCTATTCTTGTTTGACTCTGCACTGAACTTTTCAGTTTTAAGGAAAACGATGCAGAGTTTTCTGCCAGTTGATTTGGGATATTTGCTTTCTTTACATATTCTTAGTGTAGTCAGTTAAAAATCATTGGGAGAACGCAAGAACACGTCACTAGTCATTTTGGAATCTGAAGTCTGCCATACTCCCCGTGGTGGGGATTGTGGCTTCTTTCTACTGAGTACATTATAACAAAAGCGAGTTGAGCATTAGGGGTTGACATATGTCATATATTGTCTATGTTCCTATGCCATTATACCATGCACCATGTTAGACTGCTCAAGATTGCAGATTAGAGAGAAAAATGAGAGTTTGAGTGGCAGGGAAAAAAAATTTAAAAGTGGTTGGCATATGCCATATATTGTCTATGTTCCTATGCCATTATACCATGCTAGACTGCTCAAATTGCAGATTAGAGATAAAAGTGAGAGCTTAAGTGGCAGGAAAAAAATATTTGAAACTGTAATCACTAACTCGCAGGCTAGTATGTTAATGATTATATCATGAGCTTTTTGTGGAAGCCCAGTAAAAATAAATTAGCAAAGGAAATACATATCAGGGAGATTAAGGCCCTATTTGGATCCATAGAGCTAATAGTTAGCTGCTAATAATTAGCTCTTTGGATCCAAACGGGTCTAGCTAATTGTTAGCTGAATACCAAACTAACAACTATCTCACTAGTTAGATCAAACCAGCTAATAGCAGCTAATGGATCCAAACAGGACCTATGACTCAGAAGAAAAAATTGTAGTGGTGTGAATAACTCAATTTGTTGTGTTCACTTAGTTTGTCTATTTTATAGGTCACATAGAGGAGCTATCCCTTCACTTAGATCTCCCTGACATTGTTTAGATGTGTACTTTCTGCAGTGTGGTATCCTGGCATTCCAGAATTGATAACAATGGTTTGCCTTGAGTCAATAAGTATTCATAATGCTTGGTTCTAAATTTGTGTGAGTGCTATGCTATTTAGCCAATATACTAGATAGAAATGTGTCAAGACTCAAAATGGGAGGGTCATCACCGGTCAGTAATCACAACGCATGTTTAATATTTGCCAACCATGTGGGGCTATTGTGTCTTGTGAAATTTCTGCTGAGTTCTGTTAACACCATACTGCAAATTTCATATCTGGTTTCTTTGTTGGGGTAGCTGAAGCTTGCTGTCCAAAGAACATTCTTTCATAATTTTGTTTTGCTATTTGATTTGCCTTTCATCTAGTCTATGGTGGTATTGGTACTGTCATATAAATAATAACTAGCTTTACACTGGAATCAGTAATAGAAGTACAAAGATTACTTAGTGTGCTAAGTCCACTAGCAGATATTGCATTGTCTTATAGTAAGCCGCATTGCATTCACCTTGATGTTAGTGCTATGCTCTGTAAACTCGTCAAATAACAATTTATAATGTACATTGATGCAATAATGTGGATAATGATGAGCATTTAATTTCTTTACTATGCAGGGGATGTCCATGGACAATATTCAGATCTTCTTCGATTATTTGAGTATGGTGGCTATCCACCAGACGCAAATTATCTGTTCTTGGGTGACTATGTTGATCGGGGGAAACAGAGCATAGAAACAATATGCCTTCTCTTGGCGTACAAGTTAAAGTACCCAGAAAACTTCTTCCTCCTCAGGGGAAACCATGAATGCGCCTCGATCAACCGGATATACGGGTTCTTTGATGAGTGTAAGAGGAGATTCAATGTCCGTATCTGGAAGATATTCACTGAGTGCTTTAACTGCCTCCCTGTGGCTGCGCTTATTGATGATAAGATCTTTTGCATGCATGGGGGGTTGTCTCCTGAACTTAAGAACATGGATCAGATACGTAACATTTCTCGTCCTGTGGATGTTCCTGACGTTGGTCTCCTTTGTGATTTGCTATGGTCGGACCCTGAGAAAGAGTTTGATGGGTGGGGTGAGAACGACAGGGGTGTTTCCTACACCTTTGGAGCTGACATAGTTGCCGAGTTTCTTCAGAAACATGATCTGGATTTGATCTGCAGGGCCCACCAGGTATTCATTATCTTATACACCTTTCTTTTAAGTAAGAACATTTCTTCATGTTTGTGTGATAATTTTTAGTTGATATTATTCCAACAAGTTATGACTATCATGCTCAAAACAAATGGCCACCAACCTGCCACCCAAAATTAAAAAAAAAATGAAATCCTTATCTAAGATGGTATGATCGTGTAATTTGGTGCTTTCTTCTGAAGATGGCTATTGCTTCTGGTCTATATTGGACTGTATTTTGTTAAAAGAAACTACATTAGTATATTGTTTCACAGTATCGACATGTTTGTACTGTTACCTACCATTTTTTAAAGGGAGCAGTGCCTATCCCTCCTGTTGAGTAAACAAAAATGTGAGATTGAGCTTTTCATTTGTATGACAATATATAAGCTGTTCTGAATCTTTGAACTATTTACTTTGTTTGAGGCCATCGACCTTGAACTGGCTGTTGTTAATACTTGCTGTCAAACTATTGCTGTTATTTTACTGTGTCAGCTTGGATGCTTAAGGTCAACCTAAAACTCTTTACATATTAGCCCTCCTGAAATATGAAGATTAAATTTCCTTTTGTTCTGATATGTTTTAGGGAAATATAACTGAAACATCTAGATTGCTATATCTGTTGAGCTCAGTGCTGTGAATTACTATTTTTGTTGTGCACTGCCTTCATTACCATTGACTTCTCGTTAACTGAATCTAACTTCACAGGTTGTGGAGGATGGGTATGAATTTTTTGCAAACCGCCAGCTTGTAACAATATTCTCAGCACCAAATTACTGTGGAGAGTTTGACAATGCTGGTGCACTGATGAGCATTGATGACTCCCTAGTATGTTCGTTCCAGATCCTCAAGCCTTCAGAAAAGAAAGGAAAAGCAGGAACTTCCAACATGTCAAAGCCCGGAACACCTCCCAGGAAGATAAAAATAAGTGTTACCCGAATTTAGCCAGATTCTTGTTATCGAACTGGGTTTGAGAAGTTGTGATTAAGTGCTCCCTCGAACTTGTTATGGTAGGGTTTTTGGTGGTCTTAACAAGGTGTTAAACTGTGGACTGCCGTTGATCTGAAGTCTGATGCGAATGTATCCTGGCGTTTTGCCAACCAAAAAAGATCATGCTAACAGAAACTTTCGGATTTTTTTTATTGTGGACTATTGTTCTTATTCCCCGACAAATGTAATGTAACATGTTTATTTTGGGTCGCATTGTTTGCCGTGGAGATTGTGCCTTTTTGTACTTAACCTGTAAGGTTTGTCCTTGGAAATGCTCACCGTGTTCGGCTGGTACACTCTCAGCTTGTTCCAGCTTTTTTAGCTTATTCTCTCTCACGGAATACTATTTAATCATCCAAAACCATCCAAAAAAAAATCACTATTGAATGCACCTGCCGAACACTATAATTTTTTGTCATTATTATGCGGTCAAGTATTTGGTCCTTTTTATCACTATAATATAATGTTTTGAGCATGTTCAGGCGGCGATACCCGCCGATATCCCTTAGGGCTAGTTTGGATTCAACCATTGGACTCAATTCCCCCTTAATCCCCTCCAATCCACTAGGGGAATGGTTGATCCAAAGGAGCCCTAATTATATCTGGTCATCCAGAGCTGGCTCCACACGGACATCCTAGAATAGATTTAGGCCTTGTTCCACACGGACATCGGTACCGTTCGCTTGGTCCTCCAGGCTGTGCTTCTTCCTTGGTTCTAGCTTAGACGACAGGCAGCAACATGTATTCTAGCTTAGGTAACAGGCAGGAACATATGATTGGGTGGGCTCCCAGCCCGGTAGCCATGCTCTTACCCCATCTTGACGAGATGCCATTGGAGCATGGTGTCATCGGTCGTACACCAAATCCTTTTTAGCTTTAGCCAAGTTAATGAAAAATATGCTAATATATATAGCATCGACAAAACTAAAAGCTTACTTCCTCTATCCCAAATTGCAAGATGTCTTGATTTTTAGATATATTTTTTTACTATACACTTAAATATATGTAAAAGCAATTGTATATAAAAAACCAATATTACAGTTTAGAACGAAGGAAGTACTTTGGAACTGCAGTACACGATGACAACTAGCAATATAGCCTCCTAGGAAGTTGGAACTAAAACAATATTCAATGGGCTTGGGAACTAAACAAGAAGGTTGAACGAAATATTTTTTCTAGTAAAATTTGTTACTTATAGCGCACGTCTAAAAAAACCTAAACATGCAAATAAACTCATCCTACTTCTATGAGCATCTGCAAAGAAAAAATGACTGATAGGTTACAAAATTGACAAAATCACCACTCCGATACATACTCGCTAAAAGAATAAGCATCGTTAAATTCTAAAATAAGTCTTAAAAAATTAAGGACCCATGCATGTCAAAATGAAGATTTGAGTCAGGACTCAGGACGAGTATGTTATACCATGAAATATCTAAACAACAAAAACCACACTCAGTTTGCTAATGCTCATCACTTCATCACCGGATCTAGGACATCAGGCGTCAAAAGAATGCTAATTTGTAAGGTCACCTGTGAAAATACCATGAAATATCTAAACAACAAAAACCACACTCAGTTTGCTAATGCTCATCACTTCATCACCGGATCTAGGACATCAGGCGTCAAAAGAATGCTAATTTGTAAGGTCACCTGTGAAAATAGGCGCGGGAAATCCCGTAATTCCAACAACGTCTGTTCGCTTGGCTTATAAGCCGTTTTTTCTCAACCAACGAACAATATTTTTCTCTCACAACAAATCAGCCAACAATACTTTCAGCCATGACTTATCAGTCAAGCGAACATGTCATTGGTATTTACGATGATATCATTACTCACCGACCATTTCTAATTTTAATAAAAAAAAATCAAAGTTGTCACTTTCAAATGATTTTCACAACCGTTGTTTCCTTACCTACCTATATTTACGAACACGGAACTTTTGTCGCCCAGATGTCCGATGTGTTAGGATTCCATTGGACGGTACCGTGGACCGGCCCAATTCGTTTCCCGGTGCGCGCTTGCACTCGCGTGCCCCGCGCTCGTGGGGACCGCTGGGGCCCTTCTCGCTTCCCACGCGCATCCCGTGTGCAACACCCGATCTACTTTTGAAATATCCAGATGCAACATACGTCCGAAGACATATGAAACACTTGAAACATGCGTCTAAAACACTTACAAAAAACACTTGAAAACCATTGCTAACACACGTAACATGTAGATAAAACACTTATAACATATGTGTGAAACATATGCAACATCGAGATAAGCACACTTGCAACATGCGTATGAAATAACATATGAAACAATGGGGATAGACTCTTGCAACATACGTGTACAATCATTATAACATATGTAACATCCTGATCTACTTTTGTAAAATCCGGATCTACTTTTGCAACGTTCATATGAAAACACTTGCAATATACATCTAAAACAACTGAAACATCTATTGCACTAAAAAGATAAAAACTGAAAATAAAATTGGTAGCTCACCTAGCTCAGTTGGTTAGGTTTCTTGTGGTGAAACCTGGCCACCGGGCTCAAGTTCTTGACTTGGCACGGGTGCTCGTATTTTCTTGGATATATTCCAAGATTTAATGGCGTTGTGCCTTCAGTGGCAGGTAACGTTACCGTCAATAGCGAGGCGCCCGTGGTGAATTCGTCAATCTCGAGATGTGTTGACATATCTTTCGGAGGTGTTCATAGGGGTAGACTTTACGTACGTGTGTTCATAGGGGTGAGTGTGCATGCGTGTTGAGTGTGCGTATGTACTCATGTTGTCGGTGCGAAAAGTGATCAACTAGTAAATATTTGTCGTTTTGCCGTATGTTGTGATTGGATGTGGCATAGCACTCAATGACACAGGGTTTACACTGATTCAGACAACGTGTCATATGTCCAGTTTGAGTCGGTCGGTGACTTTATTTCTGAACACAGGTGCTCGAAGTTTATTGTGGGGTTACAAACAAGTGGGAATAAGATTGGGGGTATCAGAGGTCCGGTCGAACTCTGGACCGAAGGGCTAAGAGTGACGGAAGCTTCTACGTGGGCTAAGTATTGAAATGTATGCTCTGTGTAGCTTTAGAGTATCTAGAGCTAGCAGAGAGTGTGTCGGAATGATTTATGTGTTGTCTGTTGTTCGTCGAATCGATCCTCCTTTTAGGAGAGAGGCCATCCCCTTTTATAGATGAAGGGGACGACCTTATAAGTGAGAGAGAGGAAGTGTGTGCTACCTAGTCTTGTTGTCCACGTTATCGGGTACGAGACGGTTTGTCGGCGCCTATAATACTGTTGACGCCTTGATGCATGTGGTTGGTTCCATCGTGTTCTTCTGATATGATAAATATCGGCGCCTACCATACTGTAGGATAAATGTTGGCGCCCACAACACTGTTCGTGCCCTGACATGTCTGGAAGGTTGTAAAGTACCTGTCCTGCAGGTGTGCAGGGTACGGTCCTTGGTATTGCGGTTGACTTGTACGCCTTACCTTATCTGCTTCGTCTGATTTCTCGGGTCCTCACCGAGCGGGCGCCCATGTTCGGTTGTTTCAGTCGGCTCCGACCGCGCCGGTCGAAGAAGAGCCGCAGAAAGAGGTTTGGTGTGTTCTCGGTCAGAGAGGCGGGTCGGAATCGGAAGCGAGCGTCGTCCTCCTTGGCCAGGCCCTACGGTCGGAGAGGCGGGGTGAGTCGGAAGCAAGCGTCGCCCTCCTTGGCCAGATCCTTCGGTCGGAGAGGTGGGTCGGAGTTGGAGGACTTTCGGCCGGAGACTAGGTCACTCTTCCGACTGTCATTAGGTATCTGGGCCGACCCAAAAGTTGTGCGTCGTCCGCAACGTCGTCTGCTGGGCCGAGTTTTTTATTGGGAAGCAGACCCATTAGGGACCCCGGTTTATAAACCCGACACATGTAATTCGAAAAAAAGATATGTGTGTCGAATCTAAAACGATTTTGTGTGAAACCACCATGTCAGCTAGTGATTGTGATTCTCGCATCTAAACGGATCTAAAACGTTATCTAATATGGGACGAGGCATGGAGCCATGGAGGGAGTACTCCAATAAACAACGTGTGTTACTCCTTTGGAATGTGAGTGCGTGACCTACCCAACTGAATTAGATTACAAAGTTCGAAAGGAAAAAACGAAGGAAGAATCATATTACAACAGTGAAAAATTTACTCGTTTTTGAGCGCAAAAAGTTTACTCGTCAGTCCTCACTCCTCAGGGCTTTTGATTTTCCCTCCATTAATTATCCTTCCCACTGATTGCTGCACCAACTGTTAAGTGTCAACCACCTAACCGAATGGCGCTACTAATCCTTTTCTTCTTTCTTGTATCAGCCGGTAGCCAAAAAGCATCCGCCCAGCTCCCCCGCCGCTCGCGCTCCGGGGCCGCGCAAAACCCTCGGGTGATGGCGACCGCCGCCGCTACGGCGCCTCACCCGACTCCGCCGACGCCGCTCCAGCAGCAACAGCACCAGCAACACAAGGAACAGCAGCAGAAGGCGCTGTCCGTGAACGCAATCCGCCTGCAGGCGATCGGCGACCGCCTCAAGGCCCACCTGCGCGGCATGAACGTCCCTCCAATGGCCGAGTTCGCCCACCTCATCTACGCGTTTGCCAGGTGCGCCTCCGCACCGCCTCTCGCGATTCCGAGTTTCCTAGGGTTCCCGCCGCTCCCCCGTCCCCCGTCCCCCGCCCCCTTCGAGTCCCCTTTGTGGTTAGGGTTTTATGCCTGCCGCGCTGTTCATCGACGGCCTACTCACATTTCGTGTTTCGCGCATGCAGAGGGATTGACTTCGCGGTCTCAGCTGGTAATATTCCTCAGATGGCCGGTGACATACCCGACATTCTGAGAAAGGTAATGCTGTTTGCTCTCACCTTGTATCAGTCTTTTTTTTTGGAGAATGGTACCTGATTGATGTATGTATACTTGGTTAAGATAGTGATCTAGTGGTTATGGTAAATTGGTAATTTTTTGCGCTGAGAAGCTAATAGTCCACTATAAGAGATTTTTTGGCCATGGCACTAGGCCCATATCCGCCCCTGAGTAGGATTACCAGGTTTGACCTTGAAGGCTTCAACTCTGTTTGACTCACATTACGGGGGATCGTATAATTTGTTCACAAATTGAGGTTTGGCTGCTAATTGTTCTTTGATGTTGATCTTAAATCTACCATTGTTGGCCAGGTATATGACCTGAGGAGAGAAATGTTTATACAATCATCGCTTATGGTACTAGTGATATCTTGCAAGGTAAAGTTTCGTTCCTTGTCAGTTTTATATGAGATGTCACATAGTTGCTAATTTTTCAACTGGAACCAAATTTTTTATTGGAAAAGAACTGCTACTTTCAACCTATTTTTTCAAAAGTCGTTTTATTTGCTAATCAGAGTTCCCAACATACACATACTTGTAGCGTTTGAAATGAATAATCCGTTCCATAACTGTACATTTTCAGTAACTTATCTATTTTAATCCTGGTGGGCTGGTGGTTGTCAAGCCAACAATGCACCAGCATTCATATCAGCATTCTGTTCCTTGTTTCGGGCCGAAGTTCCTGGAACAAGGAGTGGGGGTTGTTCCATGTCACAGGCTCCTTAGCATATAAATATATAACTATATCCAAGCTATACAATCTGCTTTTGAGGTTATTGTTCCAGCATAATGTGCAGGTTAATCTGCCAACAATGTTAAGGTAGTAATTTACACTGGCTGTTTTGCAGAATGCTTGTTCCAATAATTGGTTTCAACCTGCAGATTCCAGAGACATTTTCAGAATGGCCAATGAGGTGCGCGCATAATATTTTTTATTTTTATATTTATTTTTCCATGAGCAGTTTTTCGTCTTTTTGGGCCCATTCTTGTGGTGGGACGGCCTTCAGACAATACCTTGACTATTTGTGTTTTTCCCCTTGGTATGCAGCTCTCTGGCAACTTCTGCACATCCACAGGCCAGGCAGCTAGTGACAGCACTGTGCTTGAAATTATATCACAAATAATGCCAAGGCACGTTATTATACTATGAAATGTCTACATATTTTAAAAATGTATTAATATTTTTTTACTGGGCAAAATATTTTAGTTCAAGTGGCTGTGAACCCTCAATATCTGATTTTTGAAATCCAAAATGTGTGTGCTTAAAAATGAAATGAAAACTTGCCATTAGCATTGCATATTTTTCCATAATATACACAATTTAGAATAAAAACAAGCCAAGATACAAAACTCAACTAGAGTACAAAATATGATTGCATGCTTTCCTAGGTCATGGATGGACATGTGGATTTCTATCCTTGTTTCAATCCAAAGATATCCCTGATATTTAATACGGTATTTTGATTAAAAAAACTAGAATACTATATTCATGTTTACATAGAGCTGGTGATTACTTCTTTTTTTTGAAACTGCTGAATTTGAATCTGCACCAGTCTCAATAATTTGGTTAAATATGTGAAAGGTTAATTGGAATAACTCTTTGATTAAATCATGTCAGCAACTCAGCAGGTTGAAATCCTGAATCATAGATTAGAGCTATAGCACAAGCTATCTGTTCAAACATGTCCTGTTGTTTATTTATACTTATATTTTATAGGTATTACCCTCGGTTGAAGTTTGAGCGCCTAATCACTTCTATTGAAGCAAAGGTAGTTACTCTTTTAACTTAAAGCTGAATACCTAGTAAAAGTTTATCATTCACTATGTCAGCTTTTATCTAATTTGGAAATCATCATATGCTGTGGCATTCTTGATTAATGATAAAAAAATGTTTTATCTTTGAACACATGATTTTGATATTTTTGTCTACCCTATGTAGGTTGGCTATGATATATTAATGGCTGACTTCTTTATTGAGAGGAACCTATCTCGAGATGAAAAGATTGTAAGTATAGTTGGGGACTCAGGGAACAAATGTTATGGCATGCATATTCAGCAGGCAAAACATTATTGTTAGCTAATGGGCGTTTTCAGCAAGTTACTTTACTGTTATTTTAATTGTTTGTGTACTGATGCTAGTGTTTCAGCTGCTAAATTTTTGTACTTTATTGCCTTTTTTTTTTATCAAACATGAATTGAACAAACCACAACTCTATTAGGTCTGTGCACTGTGTTCACATGATAACTTCGTGTAGCATGACGTTCTTTTTTGAACATTTAGTTTCATATGAGACGGTAATTGACACTATTTTCACAGTGCACTCTGCATTGATCTCTTGTAAAGTTACTGCATATTGGAGATCGTAATTTTGGGTGCATAAATGTTTATGTTTGCTATCCACTTGCTTTCCCTGGTAATACGAAAGAAAGCATCTAGCTTGCTTAAATATCTTCTTAATTGAATGCATTACTGATGATATCTGTTTCAAACTATAGAAGCCAGAAGACTGTTGACTACCTGCACTAGTTTGAAAACTACTGGTTGCATAGAGTTTGCCTCTACGCTTACTAATGCAAGGACTATCTATGAGCCGACACTCGTCGTGTCCAAGTATATAGTTGTATTTGTACATTGTACTAATTGCAGTTTGGGGCATACTTGTGACTGAAGTTCAGGACCGTTTATTTAGTTTTTTTTTTACAGGTAGGTTCTGTAAGTAACTTAACTGATTGTCTTACTTTTTTTTTCCAGAGACTAATTGTCGTACACAAGGAAAATTTAGATGCCTCGTCATGTGTTTCAAGCCCACCACATGTGAGGTTCGTTTCTTTCTCTGCTTTGATGCTCATCACCTGCTAATGTTAACCCAAGAAATATGAGTGATCCTTTTTTCTGTTCAGCTTTTTGGTCAATGGGAGGGGTGTGGACAGGAGGACTAATGTTTCAATGGTTAGTGCCCCGTTACATTATCCTGGCTTCCATGCCTTCTATAACCTCTGGTTAAGCTTCGTCTTTTTAATTGGAAAACTCAACTCGTGCATTTCAAACAGGAACCAGGACCCCAGTTCCCTACTGATATCACCAAAATGCTCAAATATGGGGCTAACATTATCCAAGCTGTTGGATACTTTAATGGTATACTTGGTCACCATGTACTTTATAACTATACACCAATCTGCCCATCTGCCCCAATTGTTTATTTACGCCTTTTGGTTTTAATTTTGCAGCTAATTATATCATAGCTGTAGCATTTGTGAACGATTTGACATCCTTCAGTGCTCCAAAACTGGATGACTATGCGCAACCTATCACTGTTTATCCTGCAGGTAGGTGAAATTCATTTCAGTTCTTTCAGTGCAGAGTGCATGTTCAGTATATTTTATGCTATGCGTCTGGTTTCTTTGACTGAAACTGAAATATTTTTTTAAATGGCATTTTGTAGTCTCTCGATTGAAATGTACATGTAGATCCATTTAAACTTGTGTTTGATTCTTCTTACCCACTGACATTACATTTTTTTATGTTATTTTCTTTTTTTGGAAATAGACTATCATTTTTACCCCTATAATTATTTAATGCTTGCTACAGCTTTTGAGTTATTTCAGCATCGTCTATCTGCCCCTTTCTTTTTGTTTGACCTTATGTTGTGAATAACTGACTGCTCCGTCCCAAAAAACTTGATGTTTTTGTTTTGTCGTAAGTCTAACTATCTTAAGTTTGATCAAATTTATAGATAAAATTGTCAACATTATGGCACCAAATATATATGCTATTAAAATACTAATTAATTCCATGGGCTAAGGCCCAATAGGCCCTTGACTCCTCTAACACTAACTATCTTAAGTTTGATCAAATTTATAGATAAAATTGTCAACATTATGGCACCAAATATATATGCTATTATAATACATTCCATGACGAAACTAACGATACTTATTTGGTAATATAAACATTAATATTGTATTGTATAAAGCCGGTCAAACTTTAGATAGTTTGCCTCTTAGGACAAAACTGAAACATCAAGCTTTTTTCGATGGAGGTAGTACCCAAGATTGATTGTGATGTTCTGCATCATCATGAGGCATGTAAAAAATGAGCCTGGTGTCTGGAACTGGATTCAGTTTCCCTGTAAAGTGATAGGGGCTGGACTCAGTTTGAAGGTGGACAGTTACTTGTATAGTTTACCTGTTTAAACTGACTATATATTTGGTTTTTGGCATACACTTGACTTTCTGTCTGTTTGTGATATCCTGCAGCTTTTTAGAGACTTGGTTTCTGTCTGTTTGTGATATCCTGCAGCTTTTTAGAGACTTGGTTTTTTTGCCCTACGCAAAATAGACTTGTGTTTTTGCTCTAGTTCTTCCCATGGGCACATGAAACCTGTAAAGTTCAGTTTTGTTGATCCATAAAACTGAAATAACTAGCTTGTATTGAACAATCAGTTTATCTTGTGAGATACCATGCTTGAAGCAGATGAACCTATGAAACGACATAGAAATGTGATACAAAAAAGCCGGATCATCTGCTAACAACCCATAAGACAAGGGGCTTATTTGCATAGTTATTGAAGCTGGATAGGTAATTGATCTGCTCAGGCAGGTTCAACAGTTTTCCTCTCCAACGACTAGTTCTCTTAGTACCAACTACCAAGTATACTTGCCTTGGTGATGTGGTCAGTGTGGTTGCATCGAAGTACCAAAACCCTAATTTTCTGCTGATCGTTTCAGTGGGTTCATGCAAAATCAGATGGCTCAATGATACTTTGCTTTAAAAAATGGCTTAAGCACAAGATCTATCTGATGACATGAATCTAGCTGAACCTGGCTTCAGTTCTGCTACCAGTCTGTCCAGTTTTAATAACTATGTTTATTTGTTGATAGCATTTCCATACTTTTTTTGGTATCATGTCTTGCTTTCCTGTTCAAAATAATATGTTTTGCTTGCGTGAAATTTTTGTAGTGATAGTAAGAGTTAAACTTTGTGAGTACTTTTTCTTATTGTAATTCTAATTTCAAGATTAGTAAAAGTTGAAGTTTGGAGTTTTGACATTGCCCGTTCTCCTGTATCTATTGTCTTCATGTAGTGTGGCCATAATTTGAATTGTAAGGAATACGTTTTCCATGATCGATGTATTGTATGACAGTAGTTTGTACAGTATATGCATTTTCACTTTGATGACTTTTGAATAATTTCCTTCATTATAGTTATGATGTGTACTGATCTCTTTGTAGATTCTGATGTACTTGAGGGACCATCAAGAGTTTCCCTAAATTGTCCTATAAGGTACTGTGTTGCACTTTTCATGGAATAGGCTTTACTGTACCAATTTTCGAACATTGTATGTTGTGAAGTCTTATGCATATAGGGCCTGTTTGGCAGAGCTCCCAGAGTAGCTTCCAGGCTGAATCCAGCTCTGCCAAACAGGGTGTTACTGAGAAGTGATTCTATGCTGTGAAGTGATTCTCTGAAATGAACTATTGGGCTGGGAGCTGAAAAAAGTAGCTTTTCCTGATTCACTCCACGCACAAAGTCACTGTACGCATAGAGTTTATCCTAGATAATCATAGAGAAACATTTTCAGTTAGAGACTAACTTCTCTCAGAGAATCAACTTCCACAGAGAATCTATGCAGGAGGAGCTCTACCAAACATGCCCTAAACATATATGTAGAGGAACTACTTATGACCGACTAGGTCTAAATGGATTTTTGCTAGAAAGGACAGGGTACCTTTACCTTGAGGATAAATAATCTTTGTTTTAGATGAACAACTAATCTTTCTTAGTGTCTACTTAGTTGGGAATGGAAAAATTCTGCATATGGTTGGTGATGGAAAGAGTGCAAAAGAAATAATCATGTGTTGAACCCATATGATTGCAATGACTATGACTACACTCAGCCTCCAATTTAATACTGGACCATACATTCACAATGTAACAACTTTCTGGCTTTGTCTGTCACTCTCACTCGATAAGTTTTAGATAGTTGGGTAACATTTTGAAATTTTGATATCTGCTTGACATATACTAATGGATTTAATATATTTGGTTCTAAAATACTAATGATCTGCCTTTTGATGTCGAACTTAATCTTTCTTTGCCTTCTCTTGTCGCAGTTTTAGGCGCATAAAAACTCCTATCAAAGGGCGTCTTTGCAAGCACTATCAGGTATTTATTTAATCTTGCCTTGTTTATATTGATTCTGTAATTTTTTATTGCAAAATGATAACATAGCTGTATTGTTTAGTGTTTTGATTATGATAATTACATGGAGATGAACTCGAGAAAGCCAAACTGGCGCTGTCCATACTGTAACACCTCTTCAAGCTTCACTGACCTACGTATTGACCAAAAGATGGTGAAGGCAAGTTACATTTTGCGCATATTTTTTCATCTCATTTTTTCTATCTGACCTCCCTTTTCCTTTTAACTCAGATACTAGAAGAGACTGGTGATGATGTCACTGGTGTCCTTGTATTTGCTGATGGATCTTGGAAAGCTGATCCAGCTCAGGATGAAAAATCTGATAGACATAGAGGTGATGCCATTCAGCAGACTGGAGATTCTATAGAAACTGATTCACCTTCTTCAGATGTCATAGATCTGATAAATGGCAATGACGATGGTGATTTGCAAATGGATTGGGTATCGGCTCCAGAAGATACTAAGCCTCTGTTGAATAGTCAAGATTTGTCTGTGTCAGACTATCTTACAGATCTCCCTATGGCAGTCCAGACAGAAGATCTGTATCGAGGGGATGGAAATAATGGGGGAAGCAACATGGCTTTCACTTCTCGTCAAAATTTGTTACTACCACCTACTAGTGGGCTGGGCTCAAGTTCATTTGGTACCTTGGAATCTATTCTACCTCAAAATGTTCTGCGCTCTGTTATCACAGATGCTGTCTCTCCTTCTCTTGAAACCTCTACTTCAACATCTGGCATGCAACATGTTTCACAGGAAACACATTGTGGAACTGTACAGTTGCCGGCACAAATAGGTCCAGTACATGGATCAGAAGTGAGAAGGCTTCCTATACCTAGAAATCCCAGGAGAGAGCCAGTAGGAGTCCAGGCATTGGCAGTTCCACAACAGAATCCTGGGTCATCAACAAGGTTGCAGCCAAATATCCTCAATTGTCCACCTCCTATCCCGCTATCTAGTCCATCTTCTTCCACTTACCAAACACATCAAGTGACGAATCCAGACAGTGTCATTGCTCCAATGAACAGTGGTAGTGGGCCATTACCAAGGACTCCTAGTGCTGCTGCGTCATTGCACCTACAGTCAACAGCACGGGTAATCATCTTTTCAAGTCACTGTGTTATCATCTGTACTAGCATCAAACATAAGATATTATAACTATTTTTCCAGTAGTCACCTTGAAAGTTGCAACCAGTATATTCTGTGATAAGTGGAAAGGCTATGAGTGCATCCGAGCTAGGATAGTGAAGGTATTTCAAATGCATCATTCCGTCTGCATTAGTTGTTAGATACTTGTATTGAAAAAAAACTAGATCAACCTCGGAGGAACTAGGTGGCATTTTATTAAGAAGAAAATAGGCACCCAAATTTGCCTCGACAAGGACCTGGACTTAAACCTGAGGTGGTCTGGGTATACATCTACTCCCTCAACCAACAGAGCTAGCTCATCTTCCTCATACTTGTATGTCAGGCCACATTGCAACTAGCTTGAATTGTTTTTTCTTTTTCTTTTTGAGAAAATCTGCATAACACCTGAAATATTAGCATAACAGTAATAATTTACACATAGTATTTTAATGAAATCCCAGAGGAAGCGAACGACAACCCTTGGCCTAATTCAACTGGAAGATAATGATACTAACACAAACTCCTTACTAACTGACCAAAGAAATTGTTGCAGCAGTGGTGGTATGTGGAGTGTTGTATCCCTACAAGACTACAACTACAAGCCTTCCTACAATGACCGTTTTCTTGCATATTCAGAAAAAGGGGGTCAAAGGAACCATAGAAACTGGTAACAACTAATAAGAATCACACACTAGTTTGCTATGTATTGCCGTCAGCATATACTATGTGACTGGTTTATTGCTGTACTATCAAGGATGTTGGTGGCGCTAGGACTAACCTTGATGTAGTTAAAGCATTTATGTCTGTTGACTGAGTCCAGCACCAGCAGCCAGTGACAGTCTATGACAGGGCGAAAGGGTCTTTACTATATTTTTACTATATATCATAGTAGCAACATGCATTGACATAATCATAATTGTTGGCAGGACATTCGCAACACATCGAGCCATCTACCCAGTCGACTTGTTGGTCTGCCTGCGCCACACCTCATGGGTGCACGACCACCACCAGCAATTTCAGGACAGGCTGGAGGAGCGAACGCCTACAGACCTATGCAACAGACTCCGACTCTCGATCAACTGAGGCACACACGGATGAACATGAACCAAACGGCACTGGCTGCCGCAGGCCAAACCACCTCTGCTGCACATGTCCGACCAACCCAAGCAGACATCCAAAGCCATCTCTTTCCCGCGCAGCAAAGCCAGGCACCGAGATCGCAACCAGTGCCACGGTCAGGAAGTCCTTCGCCTCTACAGCGGGTGCCACCACATCTGCAACAGCCTAGTGTACCACCCACTGTTCCAAGCACACCTCAGGCTGGATCTCCACATGGTCTTCCACCAGAGCTCCCTGTGGATGAGAGCTGGCGCCCCTCGGGACAGATGAGAGGGAGTCTGACAGGCAATGCTTACAGTTCTGCGATTCGGCACTATCGGGGCCAGTCTGAGCAGCAGCAGGGCCAGCCTCGGCCTCCCAGCACTTCTGGCGCGCGAAGGCCTCAGTAACTGCCGGGCATTGCGGTGTTGTGTTAATTATCAAGCAGGACTTGGGCAGCTAATTTATCAAGAGATTTTACTTGATTCTTTTGGCTCGTGTTTCGGCACTATGATGATCTAAGTTAGTGTAGGAGTAGTGATAGTGCTTGGCTTATCTACCACGCACCTGTTTGTAACCGGTTCTAGCACACACCTGTTGGTAATCAGCTACTATAGTTGGCAGCGTAGCATACGACCAGTGCTGTAAAGAGAACTATGATGATGTTAAATTAGTAGTATCAGGTAATCAATCACTTTTAGACCTAATTTGGAATGTGGGAATTTTTATCCAATGTTTTTCCTGTGATCGAACCGATTCATGTGCTAGTGAAAATAAACGGTTAACTAGCGCATATGAACTAGTGTATATGCTTTCGTTACTGTGCTGGTGCGACGAAGGAAATGAAGTAACCAGTCAAGTAGTATCCAGTTGTGCTTTCTTTACCAAAGTATATTTCAAAGACAGACGGCGCTATAGTTTTCGTATAGCTTTGTTGTTTGCCTTAAATCTGTCCTTCGCTTCCCAGAATTGCCGGAATCGTTTTTAAATTTGCTGTACCGGTTGCCAAGAATTGCCGGAATCGTTTTTAAATTTGCTGTACCGGTTGCCCAGTCTGCGTTCCGATTTGGGGCTCGTTCGGTGAATGATTCCGGCTGATGAAGCTTATACAAATTAGATAACTAATCCAGTCAGGAATCTTTTCAAGGAGAGTCATTCCCTTGCAACCGATCATGCCCTTCAGCATCTTCGTTTCGACTGAATTGAGCTTATAAGCTATGGCTGAAAATACGGCTGGCTGGTTTGGTATGAGAGAAAAATATTGTTCAAGTCGTGGATTATAAGCCCCGAATAAACCAAAACGAACAGCCTGCTTGTCAGTTTTGTCAGAACGGTGAAGATCAAACTCAGTATTTCGCATGAAAGCTTGCACAGGCAAAGCTGGAGACACAAATAGAGACCAAAAAAAGGAGGAACAAATTTAATTTCACTTGCACAACTGGTTCATAGTGGTTCATAGTGGATTATAAGCCTGCTGTTTCCGGCTCGTGCGAGTTGTGACGTCAGTCAAATAGGTGCTGGCATCCGCCTGATCCCACCCGCTATATATCGGATCGACGGCCGCCCCGCATGGCCGCAGCGAGACTCCGTTGCGCGGCCGCCATCTCCACCGCCACAGCTGTCCCCGCCGCCGCGGCGCTTCCGCTCCCGCTCCCGCGTCGCCTTCACCCGGCGTTCCCCTTCCTCCGCGTCCCCGCCGCCGTTTGCCTCCGGTTCTCGTCGTGCCGGATCCCGGCGCTGAGGAGAGCGGCCGCGGCCATGTCGTCGTTAGCGGCGGCGGCGCAGAGGACGGAGCACGAGGCCGGCGCGTGGTACGCGGTGCCGGGACTCAGCCTCCGCGACCACCGGTTCGCCGTCCCGCTCGATCACTCCAGTCCCGACAGCGGGGACACCACCGTCTTCGCGCGCGAGGTCGTCGCCGGTAGGTCGCGCTTGCCTGCTTCCCCTCCTCACCCGACTGCGATCCACCGTCCGCGCAGTGTTAGTGTTGGGCCTGTAGTTTCTGCTGGATGCATGTGTGGGTGTGTTACGTTGGTCACGTATGTTTCGGTAGAAATTGGAACGATGTGTAGGTGTGTTGTTTGGGAAGTACGGACGCATTTCACTAGATTTGGACATGAATCAAGAATCATGGCAGCGGCTTATCGGTGCTACTGCCTCAGGCTCGCCTGCTTAACTTAATTTTTGGTATATGTTTCTGACAAACTAGGAGCAAATTTGTTTAATTTGGAGAACTTGTCGCCACCAATGCAATTGTGTAAACGATGTTGCAACCTGCAAATGTGAAGGAGAAGAAAAGACTTAGCTTTGGTGAGGTCACTTCATGAAACAATTTACATGCTGTTTGGTTCTCTAAATTGTAACGCAAACTCATTACAGAGGGCATTCGTTACCTTTACATATGTTTGCTTCCTACTCTGTAATCGGTTCCATTTCCATTTCCATGCACAGAGCGTAATCAATCATCCCAACTGTGTTTACACTGTTATTTGATTCCATTTCCACTCACATTACCACTCATTGAACCAAACAGTACCAATTTAGCTGATGTATCTACTGGTTTAGGCTTGTATGTATGTGAATTTATCCTATCATGTTGGGAGAGCTGGAATAACTACGTGCTTTAGTGCTTCTGTAGTTATTAAAAATATTAATGACCCTCATGTTTGAACTGTTCCAGCTGGGAAAGAAGATGTATCTCTGCCTTATTTGTTGTACCTACAAGGAGGGCCTGGATTTGAGAGCCCCCGTCCCACGGAAGCAGGTGGGTGGTTAAAGAAAGCTTGTGAAGACCACCGTGTTGTGCTGCTAGATCAGGTAAAGAATGCACAGTAGAATTTGTGCACGGTAGAATTTCTTGGGTAGATCCTGAGTTCTCTCCGTCCTTGTTCGTTCTCCCCTTCCCCTTGGATTGTCTTGTGTTGACATCCTTCCTGTTTTCAGCGGGGAACAGGATTGTCCACACCATTGACTCCATCATCTCTTTCGCAAATTAAATCTTCTGCAAAGCAGGTGGAGTACCTGAAGCATTTCAGGGCGGATAATATAGTTAAGGATGCAGAATTTATTCGTGTACGTCTTGTACCTGATGCCAAGCCTTGGACAGTCCTAGGACAGGTATGCTATCTGACATGCACTTAGTAGATCAATGGTATCATCATAAGCTTTTAGGGACATGTATATATCTATCTCTTCTCTATTAAATATTTCAACAGAAGAAGTATTTGTACTATGGGACAAATGCTCCTCAACTTGATTCTGAACTTCTAATAGTGGAAATAAGGTTGATGATTTTTTTGTTAGTTGTTAACATCAATTAAGTATGTGAAAAGACATGGGGGCATGAAAGGTAAGGCTAACTTGTCTGTACTTTGCTCCTCTGTAGATAAAGCCTTAAAAAGACACACAGTGTTTAGTTATTGTTCTTCATTCACAAAGTCATGTATTCTTTTGGGGATGTAGCACTCTGCTTATGGCACCATCTACATGTTCTTAATTGCAGAGTTATGGTGGATTTTGTGCTGTTACATATTTGAGTTTTGCTCCAGAAGGCCTGAAATCTGTTCTTTTGACTGGAGGGCTTCCACCACTGGGAGAGCCTTGCACTGCAGATACTGTGTACAGAGCCTGCTTTAAACAGGTTCAACAGCAAAACGAGAAGTACTATAAGAGGTATCCCCAAGATATACAAGTCGTTCATGAGGTTGTAAGATACTTAAGTGAATCTGAAGGGGGAGGGGTAAGTCATTTTAACAGTCAATATATCTGTGATGTTGGAAACTTGTTCTTATGCAGCACTCCTTTTGCAGGTTCTTCTTCCATCTGGTGGCCGGTTAACCCCTAAGATGCTGCAGTGTCTTGGATTGTCAGGTCTGGGTTCTGGTGGAGGATTTGAAAGGCTGCATTATCTGTAAGAAATACGGTTGATCTTCTCATTCACGATTCGAGGGAAGAACACAATCTATCTGATCTGCACCATTTCTTGCTATTTTGTCCAGTGCAGGCTTGAGAGGGTGTGGGATCCTGTACTTGTCGCTGGAGCTAAAAAGAGCATTAGCTATTACTTCTTAAAAGAGGTGAAATCTCTATTACTCTTAATGTTGTACAGTGTTTACATTTTAATATTTACATTGCTGATAACCTAACATTATATTCTCTAGTTTGAAATGTGGTTAGGTTTTGATCAAAATCCTCTATATGCCCTCCTGCATGAGTCTATCTACTGTGAGGTAACTTGTGAACCTTAGACTAGTACTTACTATGTCATGGTACGACAACACTCCTGAAGTCTTATTTTGTTTATGGTCATGGATTCAGGGCTCTTCATCAAAATGGTCTGCTGAAAAGATTCATGGTGAATATGGAAGTTTGTTTGATCCTATTAAAGCTACAGAAGAAGGCCGTGCTGTGTATTTTACTGGAGAGGTACTTGTTTAGACATCCTGCTGAACCCTTGGGTAAAATCAAGTTAAAAAGGAGCTTGTGCAATGTCAATAACCTGCCATGTGTTATTCTTTCATCTTGAGACAAACTATAAGCAGAAGCTGTCAGCCATCTGACTGCATTTTTTTACATACGCTTCCCTAAAATTCTCTATATTACCTGTATTCAATTTTTATTGCGCAGATGGTGTTTCCTTGCTTGTTTGATGAGATCCCTGCTCTACGAGACCTAAAGGATGCTGCCCATTTGTTGGCTGAGAAGGAAGACTGGCCTCCACTATATGATGTCAGCGTGTTGAACAACAATAAGGTACCTTCTTCTTTGTAACAATAAAAGAAGTTGACATAATATACATGATCATATTACTTAAAGTCCAGAAAAAAAAAACAATTCGGTATTTCCAGCTGACTCCGTGACTTGGGGCTCTTGGTGTGTTTCAACTCTAGCCTACCCCAACTTGCTTGGGACCGAAAGACTGTTTTCCAGCTGACTCCGGTCGGGATTGCAGCTTGTTAAGCACTTGGAATCCTTTCTAAACAACTTTAGCATCTGAATTCCCATGAAGGGTGCGGAGTCTCCAAACGAGTCTAGCGTACTATTAAGAATTTCAGTTGCATATGCTGTTGTGTGTTATACACGTTTTATATAATTTTAGAAAATTAGCGGGTGTGGGGTGTTGGGTATGCTTATTAGTTTGTTCATCGCAATGGCATCCTGCAGGTTCCGGTCGCAGCTGTGGTATACTACGAGGACATGTACGTTAACTTCAACATCGCCAAGGAGACCGCCTCCCAGATAGCGGGGATCCGGCTCTGGGTGACCAACGAGTACATGCACTCAGGCATCCGCGACGGCGGCTCGCATGTCTTCGAGCATCTCATGGCTCTTCTGAACGGCAAGAAGCCTTTGTTTTAGCTGTTTTTTCAAACCCTACTATGTAGGTTCGAGAATCAGTTGAGCTGAATTTACTATGATTGAAATGAGCAAATAATGAGGTCCTTTTGATTTCTTGTAAATTAAAGTGAACAAATGAATAATGTTTATGACATCCCTTGTAAACATTTCACGAATATAATGTTTAACATTTTGAAATTGGTCTGCTCGCCAGACACGTTCTGACTTCTGAGCAGTAATATGAAATGTTCATAAATATTTGTGTCCAAAGTCCAAACAGATCCAGAAGTCAGAGGTGCCATTGTGCCAAGAGCACTTTGTATCAAACAGGTTTGCTTCTTTTTTAACAATACATAATTTTCTTTACAATAAGCCTAAGCCCCATTTATACCTGCCAAGCTCATGCTGAGCCTCCCTGCCTCCTAAGTGCTCATGGATCTACAGAGAAGTTCAAATCCCCTTCACATATCCCAAGGAGATGGCAAACAATTAACAACTATGTGTGGTGAAGAACAAAATTGTGAGCGACTACAAGCAACAACAGTAGATGCTACAAACTGCTGAATCTGGGCAGACACGCAGCTTTCCATGTGTCCACAGAAGTGACGAGTCAGCTTTCTCTTAAGTTCCGCCTCTAGTTGCTGAGTTAAAATGTGTCTTGGTGATTCACCAGGAATTTCCGGCTACTAAAATTCTGTCATGCTGCTCAGATGGAGCGGTTCCTGGTAATCCATCATGGCTAATTCGGTCATGCTGCGCAGATGGAGCGCTTCCTGGTTATCCATCATGGCTGGAGGCCTGAAACTTAGATCTGCTGAAACCTCTATTCAGCACCCCACCAATGCCGCATTATACCATACTTGTTAGCCGACTAGCACTAGCCACCGACCCTTTCCTTCGTCGGCGGCGTTTTTGTTGCACTCTACAACTAAGATACAACATAAGGCCTGCATGTTGGAGAAAGGAATAAGGAAAGGAATAACACAGCATGTATTCATAACTTAGTCAATTAGTGTTTGTTACTGACAAGCAGTGGCAGCGAAGCAAGGTACCATCCATTGGCTTGCCATTAACATTCCTATGTCAACCTGCAAAACAAAAATCAGCATATTCCAGCACTGTCCAGTGGATAAATTGCCAGTAACTGCTTCCCTCTTAAGAAAAGCTAGTTTATCGAATTCTGTTCACTAATATAAGCTCAAACTGGCCTCTTAAGTTACGATCATTCTTTCAGTAATATAAGCAATTCAATTATTTTTCATGTATTGTAATTCAGTTAAAGAAGTCAAAGTTCAAGATGCAAACCTCCTCATGACCAATAAATCCAAAATAATCTCTTTTATCATCAAATTTAGCAGCATCTGGTGTCGAAAGATTTCTTTGAAGCCTTTCGACTTTATCTTGTCTACTGTCAGTAGTTTGTATTGTTACATTGGGAGAACTAGAACTTTCATGCATCTGGTACTCTGGAAGCTTTCTTGACGTGCCTGTTGGTTGGACACCATAACCTTTCGTTCCCCAAACCTCAAACCGAGAATCTTGGTGGCAGATCAATTCCTTGCCAACAACTGTTGAGTATGTTGAAAAGTTTACATCCATTCTACGTGACGGCTGATGGATATTCTCAAAAACTGGAAACTTTAACTGTGCTGCCTCTGAGAAAAGGACAGGATCTTTCACTCTGTTGCCAGTGAACTCCAATATTTTTCTCAAAAGCCAATAGCAGTTTGTTACCATGTGACTACTGTCAAGACAATTTGAATCACCATAGATTGCAATCCTCCCTTCTCCTGCTTCCATCACTCCAAGAATTGAGGAGAGCTACAAGAGAGAGAAATCAATAAGCCTTACATATTAATACATACAGCAATACAGCAATATAATATATTTATATAATAATGTAAAACAGTACCATCAGACAAGATTATTGAGTCATACAATGTGATCAAAACATGTTTAAGCCACTAGAAGAATTGAACACCGAATGGCTAACAGTGCTCGTTAGAATTCAGTCTATTTTGAAGGGATATATATTTATTATCAGTTCTCATCACTAAAAATATTAGCTCTAATGGGTGTTCCATTTCCATACTTTCAAATTTAAATTGTACAAACTAACTGAGTACTTTCATTAGGACAAAAGCTTACATTACAATTTTCTTTTAGAATTTTGGAATAATACATTTTAGTAAACTGATATGTTGAGTAATCTAAACAACCGGACTTTTTATTTAACCAACAGAGAGTAAAAAAAAACCAAGTTAGCACAGATCTTCATAATTTAGTTTAGAACCTTGCACCCACAGATATAGAGATGGTCTCATAAGTACTGAACTAAAAGGCCATATCCACTAACCTTGCTTTTCCCCTGGGTGCTTTCTGTATCCAGTGTTCCTATGTGATCTTGCACCGTCTTTGAGTTTTCCTGGAGCTCGAAGCTATGCAAGAAACCTCCCGCTGGAAATTGCACTATATCAGTTCCAGAAGCATAGTGGGTCTGCTCACCATTGATTGAGAAGTCACCAGTAAGTATTTTGTCCCCCAAAGCAATGCCAAATGGTGCCAGAAGTTCATTAATTGCAGGAATATTTGCACCCCCAGTAATTGGAGTCCACCAACTTCGGGTATTCTCATCAAAGAATGTCATCTTAACCATTGTATCAACATGGTACCACTCAGCAAAAACAGCAATACCAAGTCCCTTGTGTATAACATCATCCCTAAGTTTCTGAATCTCTTCATCAAAGTATTCGTCCTCAAGATCAACCATAAGCAATGTCCCATAATTGCTAGCATCAAAGCAAGTAAGTGGTGATCCAAGTGTCTCAATATAGTACCCTGCATCTCTTAACATGTTGAACAGAATGTGAAAGTTCGTGTGCAAGTGGTCACCATGCCAGTCAAGGATATCATTATGAACATTAAGGGAATCCCTTGGAACATATCCTGAGGGATACTTAATATTATGATATTGGTCCCACAATATCCTTTTTGACCTAACAGGTGTTGGAACTACCTTGATCTTCAAGCGAAGAACACATGTACTACTCCGTGGGCTGCTTTCTCCATGAGCTGCTGGGGTATAAATAGTCAGAGTAACATTGCCACTAATTATGCCTGAAAACTGAGAACCCTCATCTTTAACTTGCAAATGTAGAGCAAGATATCCCGTCCAGGGCCAGATGACATCTGAGTAGGTGAAGTGAACACTAAGAAGATTGCCAATATCCTCAGAAGGTTGCCATAAAGGTTGATCCTTTACATAACCAATCACCCCCATCCCGTTCAGAATTGTAGCATTGAAGATTACTGGCATAGCTCCAGCATACATAGGTTGACGACAAAAAGGCCAGAAATATGGACAGTCAGTGAAGTCAAGCATAGTAGGAAATATGCTTGCACGTGGTTGGTAATTTTTCAAGATTTCATATGACTGCCAGCTGGAAACAAATGGTACAATAAGTGAGTATGATGTTGAGCAATGCAAGGGAATAAGATTAAGATAAATCTGAAAGCACTAATCGGAAGTTCTTGCGCGGCAGCTGCTGCTGCGGCAACCACTCCTGCAGTTACCGTTCTTTGCAGAAGAAAACAAGCAGCGGCAGCTGCAGAAGCACAGCTAAGCAGGCCGGAAATATCCAACAACAGGAAACAGACCTTGCAATTGCTGATTTTGTAATTTATGAAAAAGGTATCCAAAAAGGGGATAAGGAACTCACAGATCAAGCTTGCCAGCACCTTGTTCATACATGTTCGGACCTGAAAGTTTAGAAGCACCCTCAACAAGGGCCTGTTTCATAGCAGCAGGGTTGAGGATCAATTTCCGCTTGTCTTCAGGTATAACACTAACAAGCAAGCATACTACACCAGCAACCACCGGGCTTGCTACACTGGTGCCTGAAAGGGTCTTACAGCCTGTGCTGATCTTCGATCCAATTATATCTCGACTATATGCAACAACATCAGGTTTCACACGACCATAACTGCAGAATAGAATACATAGTTCTGAGAATGCTATTTTTTCAATGAGTGACATGAAGCGTGTGTAAAAGACAATGGTTACTCTGAAAGGTCAAACTTTTTACCAGTATACAATATGTATTCACCTTTGCATTGTAAAGTTAATTAGTACCCCAATTTTTCCAATAATAACACAAGCTTGTTAACGCTATGTCTACAAGTTGGAAGCAAAGAAACAGCTTCTCGTCATGCACCAGAAAAACTCACGATTAAATTCTTATGAAGCAAAATTCTCATAAAAAACCATGCACAAATAGAAGTAATTGCTGAACAGTGCTTCATCAATTCCACTATTCCCATGAAGTATCATAAGATAAAAGCAATGGAGCATAGCCACAGAAGACAATATTAAGATGTCATATGTTACTTCAAGCGTGAGAAATAGTGCAGGACCATCTTATGTGCTAATGTGCAGACTACAGATAGTCATGTTTGGTAAGAATGAACCTGAAAAGTACCTCTTATATGTGGGAGGATACCATCATACATAACTTAAAAACATCCAATTAAATTCTGAAGAAGACTATATGCATGGGACCGTACACAATCATGATACCAGTTTCATATGCTTTGCACATTGATGAGACATATGAGTAGCGGTCATGAAAGCTAATTCTTTTTTCAATAAAAGTCCAATCGCCATTGCCTTTACAGAAATGATGAAACCAGACCAAGATAAAATTAAAAAAAGAAACAGCAGTGAGATACTAAGAAACTGTACCACCAAGATAGAAAATGTACCCATGAGGAAGCTCCCACGTAGTCATGCCTCTTGAGGAAAATGAAGCTATATGGTTATTGTAATCAATACCACCAACACCAATAACATCGCTTTGATCAGCTGGGTTGTTTAATGTGCCATAAAGAGGCCCGTCATTTCCAATAGCTGATACCATAATAATGTTGTTTGCTGTGAGCTCCCAGACCTACAGAACCAGTCCATAATAAAAATTTCAAGTTTCACTAGAGATCCTGTTTAAAATGCTGTTAACAAAAGGTTT